CCCCCCCCCCCCCCCCCCCCCCCCCCCAAAAAAGAGGTGCTGACAGGCTGGGTTGCTGCAACTTATGCCCAGAAATAAGGGTGTAGAAATGGAAGGCCAGCTGCATCTACTTTCCAAAAACTCCTGCAAGTACAAAATGCTACGAGTCTTGCTGGTGGCCACTCCAGAATCCTATTGTCCCAGCTGTACTGAACAGCTAAAAGAACAAGTCTGTATGCCTATCCTGTAGCCACTATGTTACCACAGAACAACAGAATAGTCAAACTCCCCTGTTGAGTTGAGAAGGTGAGCTCACTCACTGGATCTTGCTAGTTCTCAGGCTGAAATCTACTATACCAACCTCAAAGTCACTGCAAGACCAAGTCATCAAAACTATCACTAGCTGATCTGTTAAGTATTGCATGGAATTGTACAGGATCCCTAGTGGATAAAGGTATGTACCAAGAACACCAAAGTGTTAGGATTAGCATGACCAATAAGTTAGCAGCACTGTTGTTCTTGTGTATGCATACAGCAGTCATTGGACACAGTCACTTGCAAAATTCACTTGCCATCACCCATTTAGGTTTGTACTAACCCTCTAACCTGAACATAAAACGTCAATCAAAGCTTTGTCCTGTAAGACCAAAAGCAATAATATTTGTACTATGTAGGTGAGTATATGGTTTGAAATTCCCAGCCTGGGAATATAAAGAATTACAGGCAGAAGCAGGATAATTCACATATAGGTAGTGTCAAAAGAAACAGTGGTAATACACTTTAAAAGAGGTCATGCTAGTAGTTCTGGCATATTAAGAACAATTTTAGCAAATAACTAAATGCTAGAGTTAGAAGCCTTTCCTGCTCCTAGAAATTGGTGCAGGCTCGAAAACAGCAACGTGAATTCTTTCTGTGGCACCAGGGAGAGAACAACAGAGTAAAATGGCACTGATGTACTATAGTGTCTCCCCTACATGGATATGACCATGAGGAACTTGCTACTTGGCTTTCTTCTGATAGGACTCTTAACACCAGTGGTAATTCTGGTCAGATTCTGGGGGTTTAGAATCCAGTGCCAAGTCTTTGTGACAGTATTTTCTCCTTCAAGCCTGGGACTAGTTCATGCTCCAAACTCTACTGCTTCCCTTTTTGATACTAGAAACTAGCTCTGCAAACAAATCCAGCCTTGTTTGCTATTAGCAGTCCTGCTTCCTGGCTGTTCAGATTAGTAATACTCAGGAAATTTGGTGCTTGGAAAGAGGATTTTACTGGCTCAAATGACTGCAAGAAGCTGGAGGTTTTCAAGCCCCCTTTAATTAAGGCTGTGAAGCAGGAATAGTCAAACTTAGAATTAAGGGTCTGTAATTGCATTGCAGGGAGGGTGCTGGTGACTCAAGCTTGGCTTTCATGGTTTGAGGTTTGCAGAATCACCATCCAAGGGAATTATAGTCCCTCACTGCTAAATGAAGCTGCTTCTTAGTCATGTGTAACACATCACAGTCCTGGCTCCATGCCCTGCACAGGCTCCCGCTGTTCTGTTCTCCAGCTGTCCTTTCACTGCTGTCAGACAGGGTGATGGCAGTCATTTGTTACTGGCCTCCACTGTAGAAAGGACAGGGCTAGTCTGAACAGTCAAACAGACTGTCTGCTTTCAGAGGTACCACTAGCTAGACTGTGGGAGACTTGGCTGTTTCCTTCCTGCTGGAAAGGAAGTTCAGTCTCTAGTAAAGCAGGATGGGTTATGTGCAGTCATCATCACTGTTTATTCATTTCTGGTATCAATACCAGCCCACCCACAGAAGCAATTGGAATTACAACCTTATCAACAGCCACATGGATCTGCTCCGATTGACAATTAAGTGATCAATTCAGGCAGACTCCAGTAGAGTTAAGCCTACTCAATATAAATAAAAATACAGGCCACCCACTGCATTATAGCATTTCAGCTCTCAGCAGCAGCCAATCGCTTTCAAGAGCTTAGACATAACAGCCAAGCTGCTTCCTGTTCAGCTGCTTCCTGTTCAGCTGCCCCCATACCAGCTTTGACTTGTGACAGAGTCCAAATCCCCTGGAGGGCTGACTTCCCCATGCATGGCCTGGACTCCCCTTCTTGCAGTTACCACTGCCTTCCTCCCACACACAGCAGAGATTACAAAGTCTATGAAAGACCAGCTCCTCCCTTTTCCCACATTTTGCCATTTCTTCTCCTGCTACCAAACCAACAGCAACACCTCACTGGATTTTTTTTACCATGGTTGTGCATGCAACACTTCCAACCCTCCCAGAGTCCAGCTTCCAAAGAAGCAGGAGAGAGTTAGGACACTTCTTCCAGGCACTCCAACCATGCATGGGCCTCTCCTTGCCCACTTTGCTAAACGCAAGCTCCTCTCTCACATCAGGAGAGCAAAGGCACCCGGATCTAGTTCTGCCTTCTCTTCTTAAGAGGTCCATGCTCCAACTGAGTTAGTTGCTGCTGGGCTTTCATTACAGGTCAGCCATTTCCAGTATATAACTTAACTTCTGCAGTTCTGATTGAGGTATTTCTTGAAAAGTGTCAGTCTGGTCAAAGGAAAAAATCTAGAGAAGCAAGCCCTGGTCTAAAGCAGGACATAGATAGAGAACATTAACTGGCTCCTGTGCTCTAAACCATCCATCCTCTGGAATCCCTGCAGGGCAGGTTCTGTCTGTTAACTGTTTGTCCACCATGAGAGAAGGCCAAGTCCTGGCTCACTGATTGATCCCTGTCAAGAGACATAATGAGAAATTAGCATTCATGATTGGCCAGGATTGAACACTTCACCCATCTGGATTAGTTGGGGAAAAATTCAGATACAGCCACCTTCTCCCCTGCCCACCTCCCCCTTGAGTTGTCTACTGGAGTCATCTCCCAGTCAGAGCCATGCTCACACTGAACTTTTGTGTTCCAACCTCATTTCTAATGCTTGGTGGACATGTTTCTTCAAAGAGTCTCTGCCTCACTTCCTGCACCCATGGCCAACACATTTCATCACTGACGAGCCAGTTTCAGGAAGCATCAAAAGTAGTTGAGCATTTTGCCTTCCTTATGCATCCTGTGTTGCCCTCATTCAGCCCTTTAGATCACAAGCTCTTCTGGGGACGAGTCATTTGGTACCATGCAACACTAGGTGTACATCATTCTCCAATTATGGGCATCAGGTCCTTGCTCCAGATCTCTTACCCTTCCTCTGAGTGCCCTACTTGGGAATCAGCCTTCAAGGTCTGAGCTCCACCCCAGCTGAAGCCTACTACACTGAAGAAACACACCAAATGCACAGGTGACCAAGCTCACTTTATCAGTGACTTCCAGTTTGTCATTCTCCCTGCCATATGTCCAACTGAAGGCCATAAGCTCCCTGGGAAAGGGGCACTCTGTAAATACCAAGCAGGGCTATGGTGCTATATGATTTACGCTTAGTTACCACAAGAGTGTAGGGTGCCTCCTTCTTCTGGACTTCTTCTGTGGCACCTGAAGTGGAGGTATCTGCAGAGCTTGGGCCTGTAGGGGATGTGTCAACAAAGGTCTCATCCACTACCCGGAAGCGGATCTCCTCCCCAATGTCCATGTACAGGTCATGTGCTCCTTCTTCTGTCTCATATTCCCATACCCACACCTGTTCTGCTTCATCACTGGTTAGGTCAACAGTCAAGGCAGTAAACAGTGATTGTGAGAACACAGTGGTCTGATCTCACTGTGATGTGACCAAACTCTCTTACAACCCTTAGTTTGAATCTTGGGATTCACCATTTTACAGCTATTTCTTAAAGTGCACCACATTACTTTCAGTACTGTCTATACAAATTCCAAGTCTCTGGGCCTTTTATCTCAAGGGCACACAGTGCTCACACTTCAAAGCATAAACTGGTCACTTGAAATTGGATCAAAAAAGAACACTCCCAGAGTCCTGCCCCTGTTTAGGTGCTTCACGTGGAGTGGGGGACACACAAGACTGGAGACAATTTAAGATGGAGTTAGAATCCAGCTGCTAGAGAGACTTTACTATTCACTTCTAGCAAGTGGCAGAGTCCTACTGGCTGTGACCCCATAGGGAGTTAGTTTTCTAGCAGTTGATCTCACATGCCCACCACCTGGCATGACATTAGGTACTGTTGTCAAAGTCTTCATAAAACAGTATGGGATGTGAGGGACTGGAACTACTGCAGTCACTTTCCTCCTTTATTCTACATGAGTCACTGTTGGTCAGAGGATACAATTTAGTAGGCTGCTGCAGAGACTCTGGAGGGATGATGATATCATCAAAGAACCCAAGAGAAACTGCAAAATGAAGAAACAGATTAAAAATGAAATTATTCTGTCACGAGTGATGGAGCACATTAAATGCAAGACACAGCATCAACTCAAGATTCATTTTTTCTATTTTGTTTTTTTTACAGCAAAACAATAGCAGTTATTGTAGCCTACCCCAACTTTCCCAGTAAATTTACATCTCTATAAATTCAACTTCCTATTTTTAGGGGAATTTCTCCCTGCTACTGGTGTGGGTCTCTGAAGTGCTGTCAAATCTACAATATAAACAAAAATTATTTTCCACTAACTCTTCAGATGCACAAAGTGATCTGAGGTTTTAAATACAATTTATGGTAGGCAAGAGACTTTGCACCAATATGTAAAGTAAGTGGATAATGCCCCTTTTAAAACAAGGGAGTTATAAAAGCCCAATTGTCTGAAATCCAGATAGCAAAGTAAACCCATGTCCTAGCTTGCAATGTGCTCACCCATCTATAAATATCAGTTATCAAATTCTTCTAAGACAATCAAATAGGCAACCAAATAAAGGGTCTGGGCAAAACCCTAAGGCCAAGCTGAAACTCGCAGTGAAATCAGATAACTGCAGGTTCCCATCAGATGGCATTTAGCCTCTATTGAGCCAAGCCAAATTAGGAAGTGATTCAGGATTCCAAAATTCATAGCCCAACAAAATCAATCTCATTGTTTACAGTTCTGAATTAACTCAGTGCCTGACAGCTATGATGCCCCCGATGTCAGAAGTTGCAGTTTACCATGAACTCCATCCTGACTACAGCTTTTAATATTCCCGATCAGAATCTCGTCCAGAAAAGGATGGAACACCACGTACCGAAAATGCACTGGAATGAAACAAAGATCATTGATGCCTTGCTCCCTTTGATAGCCAATTTAAAAAAAACAACCACCTGTCATGTACACATTCTCTCTAAGATGCTTTAGCACTTTTAATTCCAGATACCAACTAGGTCAAGAGCATGAACAAACAATACTTTAAAGTTATTTGCAATCAATATGCTGTGGACTTAAAATGGTTCATGTAATTGTATGGATTCATTACAGTTACTCTCACTAGACAACATCTACTTGCTGTGTCTTGTATTAAGTTCTCAAAGAAGAAACTATTTCTTTCTAAACACTACTTATTACAATGGGCCCTGTAGTAGTCTGCACTACTACAGCAGAAGCAATAATGTATTTTGCCACTAAAACACAAGTGCCACTGAGGTGCAAACACAGAACTACACTTAATGTTACTCAAGTTCACTCTAATATAAATACTTTTACTTAAGTCAATTTAAAAAATATTACCTATAATACTTATTAAAAGCATTTTTCCAGCACAGGAAGACACTGGAGAAGCTGAGATCCAAAGTACAATTAGGACAGAATTCATCAAGAACATGAAGGCAATGGAAAACCATGATATGAGAGAATTCATGATTCTAAAGACAAGGAAAGCGTGAGGTTAGCAGAACTAAGATACTACATGGAAGGAAGGGCAAGTCACTAAGGAGGCATACCAAAAAAGAGCAAGAACTTGCAGGGACAAAATCACGGAAGCAGAGATACAAATGGAGTTAGACATAACAAGGAAAGTTAAGGACCAAAGGGGGCTCTGTAAAGAAGTCTGTCACCAAAGAAGCTGCAGGTCCCCTGCTAAACAATCTGAGTGAACAGACAGAAAACTCACAAGGCAAGGTTGCTCACCAGCTACTGTGCCTCAGCCCTCACAAAGGAAAGCTAAGCTGCAACTGGGCAGCTAACAAAAATAACACAGACAAAGGGAAAAGACCGAGAGTCACAGTAACTAAAGGGAGCATAAGAGAGCTTTTGATTAGTTTAAATGAATTTGTCAGCAGGGTCTGGGAAATCTTTATACCAAGGCGCTGAAAGAACTGGCAGAAGGGATCTCAGAAGGAGCACACTTCCGACCACTGTGGTTTTAACCTCTATTTTTAAAAAGCCAAACAACCACAGGTGTTTTGGCTTTAAAAAAAAATGTCCAAGGTTGGCCTACTTAGGAAACAGCATCTCTACTTCATTAAGGCTGTATAAGTGACATTTTGAAATGAGTATCAATTAGGTTTATGTAGGACATTTTCAAAAATAATACAAAGTAACAAACTTCAGATCTAAATATGTTTTCAATGAATACTGCTATGTAGCTAGTTTTACATTCAACCACTGGGAAGAATGAGTTAGAATACGGACCTTTATGTGCCTGAACTGAATTATCCAGGGCAGAAAGTGAGCATTGACTTGCAGTTCAAGGAGTTTCCGGAATATGCAAAAATGCTTCAGAACGTTACAGAAGGTCCTCAACGGATGGCTCGGCCTGACTTCAATACCCAGGAAGTTACTGGAGCAAGTTATAAAGAAGTAGATTTGTAAATATTTGGATGAAGAAAAGCTTATTATTAGCAGCTAGCATGGATTTGTTAAAGCAAATCAGAACATCCAACTTGATCTTCTTTGACAAAGTAACTGGCTGAGTGGATGAAGGGAAAGCACTAGCTATAGTGTACTTGGACTTTAGTAAGGCTTTTGATAAAGTCCCACATGACTTAAGATTAATGTAAGTGATATCTCCAGCAAGCCCTTGCAGTCAAGGATGATTGTCTTATCTGTGGGTCTGAAGATGGCTGCCAAGGCCAACCTGGGCTCCACAGACTCTGCTGCAAGTCGAACACGTGTCTCCATGGGTAGCTCTGGATTCCTGATTCGGTCTATGATACGCAATTTCGGCCACTCCCACTTTTCTATCTCCTGTTGTCATTGTAAGGTTTCAAAGTACAGAGATCTTTACAGCAGACTCTTCCTCCATTTGGGGTGGTCCTGGGCAAGTTTCCCACAAGCTGATGTTGCATTTTTTCAAGTTGGCGCTGAGGACATCCTTGAAGCACTTTCTCTCCCCTCCTCTTGAGTGTATGCCTTGACTAAGCTGGGAGAATAAAACAGGAGTCTGGAGTTGGACATTCAGATGACGTGGCTGGCTCAGCAAAGTTGATGTCAAATGAACATTGCCTCAATGCTTGTGGTGTTTGCTTGTGAGAGGATGCTAATGTTGGATCATCTATCTTCCCACCAGATTCAAAGGCTCGACCACAAGCAGCATTGATGGTACTTCTCCAGCAACTTGAGGTGTCTCTTGCACATTGTCCACATTTCAGCTCTGTACAGTAAGATAGGGACCACAACTAAACAGTTGTCTTAAGCTTTGTTTTGGATCTGATGCTGTGATCTTCAAACAACCATTTCCTCAGGCATCCAAAGGCTTCGCTTGCACATTTGAGGTGATGTTGAACTTCTTAACTGATTTCAGCTTTCTGCAAGAGATGGCTTCCAAGGTACAGGAAATACTCAACATTCTTCAGAGTCTCCCATGAATCTGCATACCAGAGCCGGGGACTGTTCATTAAGAGCTTGGTGGTGCTGGAGGACCATAGTCTTCTGAATGTTAAGAATCAGTCCCTTTTCTTGTATGCCTCAGTAAAGAGGCTGATGATTGCCTGAAGGTCTGCTTCCAAGTGAGCAGAAACTACAGCATCATCAGTGTACTGGAGGGAGCTTGATGACTGAGGTCAGGGTGGTCTTGGTTTTGGCTCGGAGTCAGCCGAGATTAAACAGCTTACCATCTATTCAGTAGGTTAGCTCCACTCTCACTACAAACTCATTGGTGGTCAGATGTAGTGCTGAGAGGCGTGTTGGAGTCATGACACAGCTTTGCTTAACTCTCATCTTAACCTCAAAAGGATCTGTGATGGATCCATTACTGAGAACCACTGCTCACATACCATCATGGAGTAGGCAAAGAATGGTGACAAATTTTGGTGACAAACTTCACAAGGATCTTCCACTGTGCTTCTCAGTTGATAAAGTGTAAGGTTGATTAATGTAAGGCTGATACATAACTGGCTTAATAACCACAAACAAAGAGTTATTATATGTGGATCAATGTCAGAACAGCAGGAGATTTTGAATGGGGTTCCACACAGGTCTGCCTTGGTCTGGTGGTATTTATCATGTTTATTAATAATTTGGATGCCATAATAGTGTGCATCCTGATTTACAGACAATAGAAAACTGAGAAAGACTGCAAACAATTTAGAAGGTACAAGTAATATTTAGAAGGATTCTGATGCACTGGAAAGCTGGGCTAGAGACAGCATAGACAAATGCAAGATGCTATACCTCGGAAAGAATCATCCAAAGCATAAATACAACATGGAAGAAAAATGACTGGGTGGTAATATTACTAAGAAGCATCTAGGATTTTTGGTGGATCAGACACTCAATGAGTCAGTGATGTGATGCAGTTGCAAAAAAAATGTAAATGCAATTTTGGCCTGCATCAACAGGAGTATTAGGTACAAGACATGGAAGGTGAAAGTGCCTTTTTACTCAATGCTGGTTAGGTCTGTCTAGGGGACTGTGCAAGTGTTGGGTTCCATATTTTAAGAAGGACATGGAGAAGCTGGACAAATGTCCAGAGATGGGTGGTGAAAATGGTAAAGGGCAAGCAATATGAGGAAAGGTTAAAAGAACCAGGCATGTTCTTGGAGAAAAGGTGATTAATGGGAGACACAGAAATCTTCAAATATTTGAAAGGCTGCCATAAAGGAGGAGAATAACTGTATATTCTCTTGCCACAAAGTGCAAGACACAAAGCGATGGCTTTACATTGCAGTAAAGTAGACTTGCATTAGATATCTTCTATGATGCAAGAAACTAAATGGGCTGAGTTCTAGCGGGGAACACTGGGGGGGGCTCAGTGTATGTGCTGATGTAAATAGTTGCTTAAGTAGTTCAGTAAGAAGGACAACTAGATGGCCTTCTCACCCCAGGGAAAGATGGCAGTCTGGGCCTAGCAGCAGGGCCTGAAGACTGGCAGCACTATTGCTTTGGAGAGAACTTGGTACTGACCAAGATGGATTAAATTAAATTGATGTTTCCTGCTTGTTTTATTAATTTTAAATTAGCAGGTTTAATCTTGGCTTTCACTGTACTTTTTACTGACTGGTAATTATTAAAATTTATTGAGAAATACATCCTTGGAGGTAATACTATAATTCTGTAGCTGTTTTGTTGCAAAGACAGCTGTTTGCACCACAGAAAGAGAGAGCTAGGGGAGCAGAGAAAGGGGATTCCCAGGGGGGACAAAGTGGAGTCTGACGAAGAAAAAAAGGGAACAGAACTGGCACAGTAAAGACCATTTGCTTGGCCATAAGTAGTCTGCTATGCTGTTTGGGACATCGGCACTCTGCCCCACCCTTTTCCCAGGAGCTCCTCTTCCCAGGAGCTGACCAAAAGGAAACAGCTCTCTGAGGCAGGAGTGCTACAGATCACCAGGGACAAAATGCAGCAGAGTCTTGAGCCAGAGGCTTGTCCTTTGAGAAGCCATTCCAGAGCTGCTTTCAAGGGGTTTTGAAGAATGGAAACCTCATTCACTGGAGGTTTTCAAGAGGCTGGATACATTTAAGAGTACTTTGTGTTTATCATATAAACATAAGAGAACTCTACAATTCTATGACTCAATGGCTAGGAGCGTGGAAAAGATCCCCCCTCCCCAGCTGACGTTACCGTGCAGGCAAACCAGTGTCCAGATGCAACAACACCAACAGAGGAATACTTTTGCCAGCCTAGTTTTCTGCTTTCCAGGAAAAATCTTCTTCTGCCACCACACTGCACATTTCTGGCAGGGGGCTCTGCTGCCATGACTGTGCTGACACCGTTGTGGGGGCAGCACGTCCAAGACATGGGCAAGCCCTCAAGGCAGCAGGTGCTCAGCAGTCTCCTGTGCTCCTCTTTCCATTCCAGCATGCAAGATTAAGTTCTCAAAACTCAGCTGTTGAAAGGAAGGCTGAGCTAAGGGAAAACGAATGTGGTTACTGAACACCAGGTAGAGTGATACTTCCACTCAGAATGATACTTGCCACTAACGTGGTCTTACTGCTGTCCATCTGAACCATGCCCTGAGGAAGAGGGAAGCCAGATGCCCACCCCTAGATTTCTGCCTAATGTAATCTCTACCAAGCCCCAGCAGGGTGGGGAAAAAACAAAAAGAAAAATCAGTCATTTCTAATGTTTATCAACATTGTCAAAGTAAAAGTAAATACTTAGATTCGTTTTTAAAAATAAATCCATTTAAAATGCATGTTATGACAAGCCCCTGTTATAAGGCCCAATTGATTACAGTCTATTCCAAATATTAAACAACAGCATTAACCAGTACATATTCAGTGCTGAAATTAAAAAAAAAAAAGGTCAAACCACAAAACTGGAAGAAGTCCCTGACTAAACAACTGCATCCAGAGTTTGTTACAGCATAACACTAACAGTTTTGACACAGCAGAGATTTCTGCAGATATAAGGAAAGTATTTTTTTCATTTTAATTCCATAACTTGTTCATTAAAGGTTGGGGGGGGAAATAACAACTGGGATTTGAAAGAGCACAAAAAACTTTTTTCCTCTTTAAAAAATCTAGGATTAAAGCTAGTAGTGAAAGGGCAAGATCTACTAAGACTAAAACCTTAATGGATGGGGCAATCAAAAATAACTCGCATTGGGCCAGACCACAGAGCTATCTAGCCCAATAACCTCTCTCACACTGTGGCAAGGAGTGGATGGTAAGGGAAAATTTATATATTCAGAGCCTGCTTAGACTGAGCTGTCCCCTGCCTCTCCTCTCCAATAGCTTCTGGCATTATGAGGTCTAGGGAAACTTAATTTGGAGGTCACATCCCTACCATGTTTAATACCCCCAATGGATAATGCTGCATGGATCTGTTTGATCCCCTTCTGAATCTGGTTAAACCATCGGCCTTGAAACAATCAGTGCAATTTCCTCACTGCAGACAATCTTTCTCTTGTTCAATAAATCAGTTTTAAGTGCAAAACACGTTTGGGTAACACAGAAGTAAGTTTGTTTCTAGCACAATTAAGAGAGCTTCTTTAACAAATAAACATTTTAAGATGCTGCTGGCATGCATTTAACTGAATTATAACTTCCATCCAAATGCATCTTGGAGGCTATGAATAAATAACAACCTACCAAAAATGCATCAACATGCATTTTTTCTGGAAAATACAAAAGCTGTGAAACCAAATCAATACACAATAGACTACATAACTGCTTAAATCAGCAGGGGCCAACCTTTTTGGTAGGTGTCCCAGAAATTAGCACCAGAACCTCCCCGAGAGCCACTGATCCTCCTCCTCTGCTTTCTGCTCCCTGCCCTGTCTACCACTGTGCTGCCAACCCCTTCCCTAATCTGCTGTATGCCACAAACAGAGGCTGCCTGTGGCACTTCTGCTTCCTGTGGACCACCCTGGCTTAAATAATTGTGCATAGACATTGCATACCTTCCTGGTTAGCAAGAGTGCCAAATTATGTGCAAAGGAGGTATTTCTCAATACATTTTAATAATTACCCATCAGTAAAAAGTATAAATAAAAGCCAAGATTAAGCCTGCTAACTTAAAATGAATAAAACAAGCAGAAAACATCAATTTAATTGAATTCATCTTGGTCTGTACCAACTTTGCTCCAAAGCAATAGTGCTGCCAGTTTAGAGGAAAGGTCTGCTGGAGTATTTGAATGGGCCTGGCAATTTAAAGCTGCATTGGGTACAGGTAAAACATCAGCCTTTGACAGGGCAGGTAGAGTACTGTTTCTTTTGGCACCCCTACAGGGGCAGACAGGGCTGTGAAACCTGATTAATTCCTTTAGCTGTCCTCTTAATGATAAGCAGACACACTTAACCCAGAAAATCACACTAAGAAAAACAGCAGCAGACCTTTGGTGTGTGATGCACCATCTCCAGGGAATATGTAAGAATCCTCCAGCTTGGTGATGTCATACAGACAGATGCAGAGGCCAACGTTGTATACAACCTGCCCAGAGAAAAAGCCAAAAAGCAATAAATTCCAGCTGTCTAAAAGGGTTAATCTCTTTAAATCTCTCTGCCACACACACATCTCACTTTGTCTCAACCCCACTTTGAAAATGAAGCTAGTGTAGATGGATATCCAGCAGAGCTGTCACAAGGGAGAGTGCTTGTTGAATTCATGCCTCTGAGACTGACAAGGGCACCATGAAGGAGAAGGCTTCAGTTCTCTTAGGGGGAACATAAATACACATACGTTACTTTACAGGGACACCTCTGTGGGGGGTTTTGATGTGCTCTAAAGACAGCATCACTGCAACCTGAGATCTCTGAGAGGGCTGCCAAGAGTGATAACACGGGAAGAGGGAGCCCCATAAGTGGTTCAGATAACAAGCACCATCCCCAGGGGAGGGGTGGGGGGTTAGTACCATTGCCAAACCTAGCTCTTCCAAAGGCTAGATTATTGTCTTGTTGTACAGTCATGCCCTTGAAACCCTTTCTGGAAGGGCCTTCCTTCATTGACAACTCATGAAGATTATTAGCAGAAATTAAGACAGGCCTTCTTTGCCTTGTATCAGGGAGTACCTGACATTATACACAAACTGATCATACTTGGATGAGAGGGGGCATAGCTGGATTATAACAGTAGTTCTTTGAGAACCATGAAAGTATTGTTACTGATACACCCTTTGAGCTTGAAGTCTCCTTATTACAGGCAGTAGTAAGTCACAGCTTTTCTATTCATTCCCACCAATGGAAAACGGTTCTCCTGGTTTTCCAGATCATTTTTAAATATCCCCAGCAATGGTCCTTCTGCCATTTCTCCTATAACAGGGGTGTTAAACTCATCAAGTCCCACAGACTGAAAGAGTATCAGGATCCAGTCCATAAACTGGATTGGGCTCATGGATCCCCATCCTCTCCATGCTCCCCCTGCAGACCAGATCTGGTGCCTGCTCCAGCTGGTCTGAGATCCAGGTCATGGGCAAAACAGTCTGGCCACAGGCACATAGCACAGATCCCAGACCAGCCAGGGTGGGCACTATGCTGTGTGTGGTGCCTGCCTGATTGAACTGTGCCACACACAGCACCTGCTCTGAGAACCAAACCACACAGAGCGCCTCCTTCAGCCAGTCTGGGATCCACGCTGGAGCTGCTGCAGATTTCAGAGCTGCTGGGGCAGGTGCCATGGGCAGCACGTGTCCCACAGTGGGCACTGCATGTGGCACAGTGGTGGACACCCATGGGGTGGATACCACTCTTGCCGATCTGGGATCTGCACTGCACAGCATGGAGATCCCAGTTCCTATGTGGGGCACATCCCAGGCCTTGCCCATGAGATTGGTCTGGCACGTACCATGCCCAGTGTGGGTCTCCTCAGACCCAGGCAAACACAAGGAGCTGGATGATGGAGCTTTGTAGGCAGATCTGGTCCACAGGCTGTACGTTTGATACCCCTGCCCAAAAAGAACCTAACAGATTGCAGACACTTGCAGCCAGCATCCAAATCAGCAGTCGCCAAGACAGAGATGTCTAGTCTTTAATAATCTTTCCACATATACTGCTCTCTCCAGCCCCTGATCAATATTTTTGCTCTCCTTTGAATTCCCTTCCACATACTAATTGCACTCTGGGTTTTCGACCTTGCTAGAACTGAATGCTATAGCTCAGGCACTGTCCCAGCTGTAATGCAGAGATAGCTTATGATCTCCCAGTCCTATAACATGATGCCTTTTATATACTACACCATCTCGTTGATTTTTGCTGCCATATCACATTTCAAGTACCCACTGCAGAGAGAAGTAGATACTACTGCCCCTCATTCTTTTAAAGCCTTATTGCTTTCTAGTTGTCACCTTTGTCTTAATTTCTCTTTCAAGAGGTATTAGTTTGCATCTTCCCAGGCTGAATTTCACATTCCTGTTTCATACTCAGAATGTCAATCGCTCTCAGTTTCTTTTATTGTTTCTCGGTCCCACCTGGCATTCAGTTCCGTTAGTTTAGTATTACCTCCAAATATTATTAATATAGTCTTTACTAGCCAACTGCCCATCAAGAATGACAAGAGGGACAGGAACAGAGTGCCACCACCCCACACTGCTGCCACCTCCCAGAATGGGGGGAGAGAAGTTTGTCCCCTTCCATCCCCCTCTGCCAGCACCCCGCACCACCACCGACTCCAACGCCACTAGCCTCGCTTCACCTCCCTGCCCCAGGCCCTACTCCTCGGAGGTGGCAGAGTTCCCCCCAACTCCACCCCCTCTGTCATAGCAGTGCTCCGGACTTTGAACGGTTGTTTCACTAACCAATTGGAGTGCTCCAAGAGTGTCACGGACAGACAGACAGACAGACTAAGCCCTTTATTATATAAGAATTCCTCACCAGTTTGTTCTATATCATTGAAGAATATATTAAATAAGATCAGAGCCACAGAATCATAGACAAGCAGGGCTGGAAGGGACCTTCAGAGATCATCTAGTCCAACCTCGTGCCTGGGGCAGGATCATCCCTCTCCAAACCACCCCATACAATCCACTGTCTAACCTCTTAGCAAAATTACAGTCAACCCTGACACAGCACAAGATACAACACCCTAACCTGCCACAGATAAAGTGCAGGACCACAGCAGCCAACTTTCTGCTTCTGTAAAGATAGTTAATACATGCTCAAGAGATTCCAGGAAGAGGGCCATGCCCCCTGCTATAGAATAGGAAGGCAAAAACCCTCACAGTCTGTACCAAACTGATCATAAGGTTAAATTCCCTTCTGACCCCAAATATGGCAATTGGTCTGACCACGAGCAGAGGGGCAAGACCCTCTAGCCAGGAATCTTTCACTTTAACTCAGAGCAGGAGTGCTGGCATGCCTCAGTCAAAATCCCGAGCCCTGGCTGCATGCAACACCCAATGCCTCTGAAGAAGACTTAAAAAACAAATAAACAAAATCCTGAAAAACCCTGACACACAGCAGGGGAGGAGAGGGGGAGGGAGGGAGAGAATTCTGTCTCAGTCTCATGTGGCAACCTGCAAAGCCAGCACAGGAAATACCCATAACAGAACATAGGCATAGCTATGCCAAGATCATTCCCAACTAGCGTCTGTCCAAGTTCTTGAACAGCTCTAGTGGAGAGTCCACAACCTCCCTAGGTGTCTATTCCACTGTCTCACTGTTCTAACAGTGGTATTTTTCCAGATATCCAGCTTAAACCTACTTTGCTGCAACTTCAAGCCACTGGTCTGTGTTCTCATCTCTGCATGAGAGAAAAGGTGTTTTCCCTTTTCTTTATGCAGCCTCTCAAGTATTTGTAGACTGGTATTACATCCCCTCTTAAGCACCTCTTCTACAAGCTGAATGTGCCTAGCTCCTTCAGCCTTTCCTCGTATGATTGGTCTTCCAAGCCCTTTATCATTCTTGTCTCTTACCTCTGGTCCCTCTTTAACTTCTCCACATTCTTTTTAAAACGTGGAACCCAAAACTGTATATAATACACTAGGCAAGGCCTAACCAGTGCTAAGGACAGAGATACTATCACCTCCCGTGTCTTACACCTAATACTTCTATTAATGTGTCCCAAAACCAAATTTCCTTTATGTGCAGCTGTTTCACACTGCACACTCATACTGAGTCTGTATTCTACCAAGACTCCCAGATCCTTTGCCACAGTGCGTCCATCCAGCCAGGTATCACCCATTTTGTATTTTTTATTATTCTTCCCGAGGTGTAGCACCTTGCACTTGTCAATGCACCTTGCACTTGCAGCTTTCCAATCCGTTGAGATCTTAAACTGGTGCCCCTTTGTTTATGGTGCCTCAAGCACTTCAGTCTCTGTGAAGATCTTCATGTCTAAAGTCATGCTGAAACTTTATTTCTAATAGTCATCCATGGCTGCCAGGAACTCTGGGTCATCCATCCTATACTCAAAGCTTTACCTTATTGGCTAACTTCTTGTTCAGCTCCTCTGCGATGGAGTCATTGAGTTTTCTTTCAAACTGCCAGGGAGGAATCCGCACTGTATCAGTCATCTCCACTAGGACAAACATGGTGGCAGGCAGCAAGTGTCCCTGGGGACAGACCATGAAGACCAATGAGACTGGAAAGACTCTTTCTGATTAGAGGATGCCTAGGATCATTTCACACCTCAAAATGGGTGGGGGGAGGATCTGGAAACACATCCAGCCCCTGCACTGTAAACCCTTTACCCTCTTGGAGTATCAAAACCCTGTCAAGTCAGCATATAAACTCAAGCGGCTCAACTACAAAGCAGGACCATCTCCCAAGAATCACTTGGCAGGAGGCCCTGCCCGAGACACCTCAAACAGTAGCTTTCTTTTAGTACCCAGAGGACATGCTTATTTTCAAGACTCAAGCTCAGTCCTTTATCAAGATGAGCTCATTGGGCAGAAATCATCTTTTCTTTATGTGCAGGTAGGGCCTCGCAATGGGCCTCGTAACATCCCCTACAACACGGGTAACAGGATGACAGGTAAGGAGGGGGGGCACCACCCTTACTGAGATCAACTTCTACAAGCCCGAATCACGGTGGCAGCTCACTGCACCCTTTTCTGTCTTCCTAAGCAAGGGTATACTGCAGCACTGGCTGCTACATCCAGATCTGGCACTGCCTGCTGACAACATGGATTTGGGTGTCCTGGGTAGGAAACCGCACAGGCCACGGGCACGAGTACTATTCATGAGGAGGAAATAAGTGGTATGCGCTAAGGTGGGGAGGGGAGGAGAGGGGCAACGTGTGCACACAATATGTGGCAGGCGCAGCCTCTGCGTGGGGCGCACAGCACATCGGGAAGGAGTGTCCGCCCGGCAGCACAGCGTCAGGTAGGGCAGAAAGCAGAGCAGTGGATCTAGCAGAGAGCAGAGGATTGGGCAATGAGCATATGACAGGGATCAGAAAGCAGAGCAGCAGCTCGGACAAGGGGCACAGACCAGAGCAGCAGATGGGGGAGGAGCAGACGGGGGAACAACCCAAGCCTACGTCACAACTGACGCACAGGGCGGGGCCCACCGTGCTCGCGGCAGGCGCCGCGCGCCCCCTGCCGCAGCTCAGGGGTAGGGAGAAGCCCCGCCCCTCACACGCACCCGGCCCCATGCTGGGGAGAGAGGGGAGACCGGCGCGAAGCAGCCGGGACAGAGCAACCCCACGCTCAGCCACAGAGAGAGGCCAGGAGCGGCCTCTCTGGTGCCGCGGTGCACGACGGGACGCAGCGGGACCGCAAGCCTGAGCCTCTTGCTGTGCATCTTACCAGCAGCACGCGCGGAGCTGCAGCAAGTAGCTCTCCCGGTCTCCTCAGTTACTTCCGGTGGGGGAGCCAATCACCCTCCGGGGAAGGGCCT